TCTACCCCCACATCTTTCTGGACCTTCACAGAAACAGCAAGAGATCTGTTGTGTCCTGACAACTAAAATATACACGTCCAATGAATGGAAAGAACTGACCATGGGGAGAAAAGACCATGAGGTATTTGGAGGCCTTGGAGTATAAGTGGCCACCTAAAGAATGGACCCTCCCAGTTAGAAGCTGCTGGAATCAGCAGGACCTCAGATTTAGGAAAGAGCCTTTTCTTTTGTGAGAAATTATATTTTTTAATTTCAAATTTTATGTTTGAAAAAATTGCTGGATTCTAGTCATCCTGAGCCTCAATTTCCTTCTTTTTTTCCCTTTATACATCTCACAGAGCTGTAGTGAGTGTATTGAAGTGTACTGCATCCTACGTGCACTTAGTAAGCACTTTTCCATCCTTAGCTGCTATTATTAACACTGGCACCATCTTTGGCTCCATCACCACTCCCTGCCCCCCACTCAAATGCTTATGTTTTACGGAATACATACAACCTAGCTAATTGTCAGTAGATGAATATCCACTCAATGAATGAATGGATAAATGTGTATACATATTGAATGGGATATGATTTAGTCATAAGAAGAAATCTTGCATTTGCAACAACATGGATAGGCCTTGACTAAGTCATGCTAAGTGAGAAAAGTCAGAGAAAGATACTATAAGAACTATGTGCTCTCACTCTACAATAAACACTGTGGAATCTAAAAAAGCCAAGCTTGTAGAAACAGTAGAGTGAGAGGTAGGTGGGGGCTGGAGGTGGGAAAATTGAGAGATACTGGAGGCACACTTAAAAAAAGACACAGAAGCTGAATAACTGCCAATTTTTGCTTTTTTCCACCCATTCAAAAGTAGCATACAAAAACTGACACTTTTCTTTAACCCCATCTGCAACCATCCTGGCCACCTAAATTTGAAGCTATCTTTAAGGGAACATGACACTTGCAAAGGTTTAGTGAAGTTAGATTTTTTTCATGGAAAAAAAAAGGTTGTGGGTATGAACTTTGAGGAGGACTCAGGCCACCAGTACTCCTCCAATAGGGAGAGAATGACCATTCGTACATCAAAAAGGAACAAGCTGAACAGACAACCAGGAGAGACTCATATGGCATTTCCATTCAACCTAATGATGACTGATGGGTTGAGAACCCAAACACGGAGACCCTTTTTTATTTGCACAGCTGGAAAAAACTCCATTCACCATGAGTTCTGAAGGAGAATCAGGCAATGCTTATTTAAAAATCTCAGCACACTGAACATTAGAGAAGGTCACTGTGGCAAAATGTAATATCTGGGCTAGTGGGCACCTCTTTTCAGCTTTCTCATCCACTTGTTTATCCATTAGTGTGTGAACACAGAACTTTAAATTCCACAAGCCATTCTACAGTGGCAATGATTGTTTTAATGTACTTAAAATGGTTTGCTGCTTTGCCTCATTAGGGCTGGTTCCCTCAAGATAGGGCCTAGTTAAGCATAAAATGAAGCAAACCAAAAAACTTCAGGGCTCTCTGGATTTTGCCAGTAGACTGGAAGTAGAAAGAGAACTCCTGCATGGAATAGGGATATCCCCAAACATCCATTTCCAGGGGGCCAGTGTCTGAGGTCCACTAATGGGAACTATCTCTATGGTTACTTCCAAGCCAGGAGTGCTGTACCCCGATAGCAGGTCTTCAGTCAGGGACTTGGAGCTGTCACTGGCCCTAACAACTGCTCCTCCCCAGGGTGATGTGGTCAATCAGCCAACAGGTTTCTTCATGGGCTCCCCTGGGGTCTCCCTGGGTCTGTTCTAGTCCCCAAAGGCTAATGCTTCATTTCACTGAGGAACTTGGCTTAGTCAGTTGAAAATATGTAAAGGGGGGCAAAACATGGCATTTTAGTCCCAAGGCCCTTTAGAAGAGAAGCAGAATAAGGAAAGTGAAATGTTTGTGAGCATTGACTCTGGCCGGGAAGGAAACAACTGGATTTGGACAGTACGGCAATGAGAATCACTGTGGAATCTCATGGTGTGGCCAGCGAAGCAGCTACTATTACCTCCTTGGAATTTTCAAGTTGCTATACTCAAAATTTATAAATCTAAAGGGCTGTATTCTATAGCCAGGCCCTGAAATACTCTAAGTTCACTAAATTGTCTTCAAAAGGATGCCTCAAAGATTCTTATAAACAATGACTAAAACTAAATTATGGTGTAATATTAGTTGATTAAGACAAGACTTCAATTTGAGTAATTTTCATCAGCTGGACACAGACAGTGGTGAAAACAATAACCCATGACTAAATACACACTGGCTGATGGGAAGAGCTGCGATCTAATGTGGCAGGAATAGCAGCAAAATTTTTAAAAATGAAAAAATAGAGAAGAAATTTTTTATAATACCACAGGATAAAGGAAAAGTGGGGAAAGTAGGGTTCACTCAGGATTTTCAAATGTTAACAAAATAGCAAAATTTATTTCAAGAATGTCTTCTTTACGCAGAGGAAACAAGGATGCGTGCAGCTTCCATCTCCTCCGGCTAGTTTCCTCCTATATTCCCTCCTGAAATGAAGCCAAGCGCAATATTCAGAGACAATCAGAATTACTGATACTTTTAGTGAGGCGAGCCAGCCAACAGACTAAAATAATTGTAGAATGCGTTCTTTCAGAGTTTCAAGGAAACGTTAAGATCCTTTCATACAGCTCACCATTATTTAGATGTGGAAAAAAAAAAAGAGACTGGCTTGAAAGGTCGTTCCAAGTAGAAGCAGATAATTAAAGACCATGCCAAGCTAAGAGAAAGATGGGCAGAGGACCCATTGTTTGAGAACTTTCCATATGTCCCCACCCACACACATGCTAAGCCTTGGCAGCACACACGTCTACTCAAACCCATTCAGTGGGCTGAGCATCATGATCTTTTCTTCTGGAGGCTGAATGGGAAGAGATACTTAAAATCATAGCTTAGGAGTTGCTGATCAGTCTCCTTTCTAATATCATGCCACACACACACTATGTGTTGTGAGGATAGGTGGGTGTGCGTGGCCATCTCTGTGTGCAAGCATCAGTAAAGACAGTATCTACCATGGATTGTAAGAAACCAAGAAGCAAAAGAAAAACAAAACATAGCTTCCTAGTTCTTCATGGGAACATAGTTTCACTCTGCGTTCTGAGTCACTCCCCTTCCACCAAAACAATATTCTTTTTAATTTCAGGGAACAATTTTGGTTTCTTGAAACTAAAATAACTTTATTTTAAATCACTAAAACTGGAGCTGAGTGGGCCCTCCCTGGTGGCACAGTGGGTTAAAGCACAGCACTAAGAAGCGAAAGCCACTTCAGCATGAGTTGGATCCCTGTCCTGGAGGTGACCCACATGGTGCAGCAGACCCCTCCTGACCCACCCGGTGCTCCCCTCAGCAGTGCACTTTGTCAGTCAGCCTGTTCTGCTCCCCACTGTCTCTGTGAATCCTCTCACTGCCCCTACATCTCTGGCCTGTACCCCAGTTCTGTAATGCATAAATAAATAAATCTTTAAAAAAAAAACAAAACTGGAGCTGAGACCTCCAAGTCCCTCACTTAGTCCCCTTACTTCCACTGATGTGCAAACATGAAGACTTTCATGGAGGACAGCTTAGAGATGATAGAAAAGCAAGTTGCTGAAATCTATCAATACCAAGTGACTGTGTAACAAGACCTCCATTACCAGCATTTATATTTAATTTACTCATCCTTCAACACTAAAGGAGTACCCATACTGAGAAAAATCTGAACTGTGCCCAAGTGCCCAGGATGAAGTCAGGGTCAGAAGCTGTTCTCAAGCTGTGGCTTACCTCAATGGTGAGATAAGACATCTTCACAGATCAATATTAACATTAGAAAACAATATGGGACATTTATAGGTCCAGCACTGTCAGCCATACCTGTAGAGCCTCATTTCATACATACCGCTATATACAGGGCAGTACCATCACCACCTCTGCCCTGTAGGGGACATGACTCAGAGCCAGACAGACTTGGTAACCTGCAGAAATGATTAGTGGATGGTGGAGACTGGATTTGAACTCCAAGACTCTGGATTCTATTACTTATTTTCCTTCCATGTTTTGCCTTCTTGGCTGTGTAGAACATGAAAAGGAGCCCTGCATCAACTGAGAAGTCCTAGTTATCCCTTCCCAATGCCTTCTGCAAAGCACTGTCTCTGACACCCACCAGAGGGGTATTAATCAATTCAGCTGTGGATACAGAACAGCCAATGATTATGAAGCACTTACTATGTGCTAGCACTAAACTCTGCACTTAATATAAACCACTTTTTTCATCCTTACATTTAATAGGAGTCAGTGGAAGAACTATTACCGCCATCACCATTTTGAAGTTATAAGCATAGAGGCAGTCTAAAGTGAATTAAATTAGTTATGTAGGCTAAGTTATGCTATGAGGACACATCAAGCCAGAAGTCTCAGTGACAGTGACCTGACATGAAGGTTTGTTTAGCATGTATACCCTGTATCCAGCACAAGTTGGCAGACAGCAGGGGTGGAGTATGTGAGAAGACATCTGTCCCATGTGGTCACTCAGGATCCCAAGCTGATAGAAGTTGCTACATTTCATGATTATTCCGAAACATGCAACTTCAGAGTTTTTTAATATTAGCAGAAAATATGGCTACCATCATAACAGTTCTTAAACACTTTAGCCCAGAAAAGATCCAGCTTTGTTTTTGTTTAGTTGCTCACAGGCCAGAATCAGCCTTGTGGACCTGCCTACTACAAAGGGTCTGGGATAGCTCGTGCACAGTAAGTGGCTTAGCCGCGGTCATTCTCCTCTGGGCACCCAGGTATCAATTCCTCCACTTGATGATATCGTCAAAATTGATAAACATCTTTGGGGAGAAGCTGTTACAAGTCTACCAATAAGTTAGAGACACCGAAACATACCTTGGAACTCATGGCCTTCACTCTTGACTATCCTGATTTAGCACATCCAAGAGGGAGTTGTTCAGAAGGGACGAAAGAGGGTACCTACCTTTGTTGGCACACGCCATCCACTTGAGATTGTCTGCAAAAGCAGCCTCTCGTCCAATGAGGTATGTGAAGATGCGAACCTGAGAGGAAGACGAACACGGGTCAGTGGCATTCACTGTTCACCGTCTTGCACAGACCTTGTGCGTGGCTCACACACATGTGGTTTACCTCTTTAATGCTGCATGCTTTCCATCTGTAGGAACATATTTAAGACATTTGAAGTACAGTCAGCTAGAAATATATTCAGAACAGGGGCCTTTGATCTTCTAAGCCATATGGCATTGGTGGTGGTGGTTGTTTGGTGTGTAGCTCTTACAGAGAGAAAAACTTGAAATGGGAGATGGGCGGCTTCTTGGACCTGGGTTTGCTTTACACATATGGACAAGGATGACCCAGATCTGGACCAAACCCTTGACCATCTTTCTCATCCACACAGGAAACACTGATTATGCTCTTCTTGGGAACAAAAGCACTCCCAAAAGGCCTTCAACATTCCCCCCAATGGTGAGGACAGGCTGCAGGCACTCTCTGGCCATCTGTGGTGTCTGGAGTGATTTTAGGAGGCAATTAACTGAGACAAGAGGCACAGCCTAGAGCTGTGTGATGGGGACACTCTCTAGGCTTCCTAAACTTTTGGCTCCTGAAGAGCAGAGGATACATGCAAATCCCTGAGTCTCTTTTATTCTATTACTTTCCTAGCTCTCTGTTGTGAAGCCAGAATTCTTTGAATTAAAGCAAACTCACATCTCAAACTAATCCTTGGGCTGGGATAGAAGATAAGGAATTAAAAGGGTTAAAACCCTTTAATTCAAATGTAAAACGGAATGTTAATACAGCATAGTCTAAACAGAACTCTGCTTGAGGGTCAACTGTGGTCTTGGCCAGCTCGCTTGTGAGCAAGTCAAAAGACATAGTATTAGATGAATGATGTGTGACATGTGGCACCAAAGGCTTCACCAGCTGCGTCCCCTCAGCTCACCCAGACTGGGCCAGGCACCATGCTGTTCCTTCAGAGGCTTCATTACAATCACTGTTTTAACTACTATTATGAGTGGGTACATCTATGGTCTCCACTGACACATCTACTAGACCAGGGGAGGAATGGGTTTCTTTCTCTGACTATCCTGATGGAGCACAGTTCTACAAATCAATATCTGAATGGATAAAAATACATGACTGCTCAGAGGTGACTGTAGAAAATGCCAACTTGCTGTGTATTTCCTGTTAACTAGGAATTAAAAATTGAAGACTAATTTTTAGGTCAGGATTTAGTTCTAATTTAAGGAGATGTTTAAATACACTTCATCATGTGTAGCCTAAGTCTGACTTTATTTGTCTTCAGTAAGGCAATCATTTTATTTATCACAGCTCTCCATAGGGGGCTTCCTGGCTAGATGAGCAGGCAGAGAGGCCTTCCTGTTTTTCATTCCTCTAGCTTTTCCCCCTACTAATGTTTCTACTGAGTAACATTAGGAGGAGGAACTTTTTTTCAGTTGGGAGAGTCTGGCTTCTCTTGGTTGAAAGTGGTCATCATTGCCCCCCACCCCACATAGCTGTTTCCCCAATCACTTTCTTTGCCTGGCAATGTTGTCATTTAGCTGAAGATATCTGATTTAGGAAGAAACTGAGGCCCAGCTAAGGAAGGTGACTAGCTTAGTTTCATCAAGTGCTAAACTCTCTGGGAACTCTGGATAACACTTGTCTCCTCTCACCCTCCTGGAAATGATGGTTCTGTCCTCACAGAAAAACCCAACCAGCTCCCCCAGCCACCAGTTAACATCCACAGGAGCCAGGACCAGAATCCAGTCTCTTAAAACCAGATCCATTCTTTAAAGGAAAAAAAAAAAAAAGACAATAAACTTTGCCTTTCATTTCATACTTAAGCCAATTAAAGGGAAAACACTAGTTTGATAAAAACAGACATCCCCACTAGCCACTAAATCAAGTAGAAAGCAGAAGAGATGACACATAGGAAGTGAAGCTACAAGTCTGTCTTTGCAGGAAAAGAGAACAAGTCCCCTCACAGAGCAGCCCATTTGATTCTGAGTAAAGATGCCTCCTCTGTTGCCTAGATGAAGAACCCCAGGATGAGGCGCGTTCTCTTTTAGAGGCACAATTAAAACTCCAGCACAGAGCTGTAAGCCACTGGCAAAGTTTCTTCAATTCCTGATTTAAAAAGATGGCAACCCACTTGGAAAACCAGTAAGACTGGGCCAAACTTCAGAACAGCCATGATTGCTCAAGAATAATTGTGCTAACAATAAGCACAATAATGAAAACCAGCATCACGACCCCTGCGCCATGTTTGCTGCCCCTCCTCCTCCCACCCTGTGGCTTCCACATTCGGCACCAACTCCAGGTCAGATATGTGCTAAGCCATTTATAGGCACCATATTTATTTTGTTGGTTTGTATTTCATTGCTTATGAAAAAAGTCAGAAACATGTGCAATATTTTCATTGATGTGTAGCCCTTGCTCCCAGTGAATTGGCTTCCTTATCTGAGTAGAGACAATGTGGAAATGACTTGTTGCATCTCTGCCTAGAAAATAAACACAATCAAATAATATTGGGTTCATGCCCTAGGTTTCTCACAATAGTGCCTTTCAGATGGCAATAAAGAAAAGGGATTTTACTCTAAAGTAAATATTTGGAGAGTAATTTAACTCTATACATAACATTGATGTTTGTAATTTTTTCAGACCCAGTAATTCTGCCTGTAGGCATTTATCTTACAGCCAGGATAACAAATAAAATGTCTCTGGTGGTCAAACAGGTGACAAAGATGACAGCGAGTGATGAAGAGTATAGAGAATTGTGAAGTGTCTAGCTTCTAAAATTCTTGTAATTCAGGTTGAGACAAGTTTTTCAGGAAGCAGTATCCCAAACTTCCCCTCCTCGACATCTCCTTCTTCCTCCTCACCTCCTTAACCTCAGAAAGGTCATTTATTAGTGATTAGTGTTCAGTAGTTTTTACAGGTATTTTGCCATGTGAGATTGTCCTGATCACTATGTAAATACTCACTATTTGTCTTAGTCATTCCGCCTTTCTTTCCTACACATAACCTCTCCAAACTGCTCGAACATGGTAGCATTCCACCTTTCCTTATGGTTGAGTAGTATTTCACTGAACAAATACAGCACATCTTCTTGATCAAATCCTCTGTCAGAGGGCACTTAGGCTGTTCCCATGTCTCATCTATTGTAAATAATGCTATTGATATTATAGAGCAATAGTGCATATAATTTTTAGATTTGGTAGTTTCACATTTTTCCCTCTGACAGACCCACCAATTGATCTTGCTGGGTCATACAGTATTTCCGTTTTTAGTTTTTTAATGTAGAGCTACATCACCTTCTAGATGGCTGCACCGGTTTCCGGTTTCTATCACCTCCAACAGTGTATTAGGGTTCCTTTTTCACCACATCCTTTTTAGCATTTGTTGGGGGGAGGGGACAGGCGTTATTTGTAATATGTGCTATTCTCACTGGAAAGAGACATCTTATTATGCTTTTGATTTACTAAAAGTGACATCAAACATTTTTCCATATATCTAGATATCTACTTTGGTGAATTATCTTTTCAGATATGCTTACCACTTACTGATTAAGGCTTTTTTTTTAATTTTTCTTATTGTCTTTAAGCTGATTGATATTTGGGGTATATTTTGAATATGAACCAATGTTAATCCTTTGTCAGTTGTGTAATGTGCAAATATTTTCTTATTCAGTAAGATTTTTTTAATCTACTTAAATTTTCTTTTGTTGTCCAAAAAGCTTTTAATTTGAGGTAATCTTAGTTGTTGTTTGTTTATTTATCTTGTTTTTAATTTCCTTTGCCTTGGGGGTGGAATATCCAAAATCACCTTATCATTGATTCATTAGCTGTATGGCCAATGTTTTCTTCTATCTATTTTATTGTTTCAGTGACTATTTCTAAGTATGAAATACATTTGGGATTTATTTTTGTGCATGGAGTTACAGAATGACCCAATTTCACTGTTATACAGGTGGTTTTCCAAGTTCCCAGAATTGTTTGTTAAAGAGACTTTCCTTTCCCTGTTGGAAGGCAATGGCTCCTTTTTCACAAATTAAGTATTTGTATAAGTGTGGCTTTATTTCTGGACTATGGATTCTATTCGTTGTTCCATGTGTCTTTTTATTAAAATATCAGAATGTGTTAATTATAGTTGTTTCTTATATAGCTTAACGTCAGGTAACAGGATGCCTCCATTTTGTTCTTGCTTTCTTCTCAGAATTGCCTTAGTTACTTGAGGCCTTTATGACCAAGCAATTAACAAAGATGCCAGGAAATGGTAGAAGTATAGAGTATCTTCTTAAATCCCTGTAATTCAATTTAGACATTTTCACAAATACATAAAAAATGATAAAGCTACATGGATTATTTGTAATGGTCAAAACCTATCAAGCCCTAACTGTCTCTTAATAGTAAAATGGTTAGAAAAAATTACAGTTTACACATGTAGTAGAATACTATACAGACATGTACTTACATATAAAAAATGCATCACAAATTGGTAAGGGGAAAAAAGCAAGTAATAGTATATTGTGTAGACAAAATCCTATATTTTAAAGGGGAAAAGAAGATGTAACACTTTTTAATTAAAAAAAAAACTTTACCATTGAACGTCTTTAAAGCTCATTTTAAATGCAAAGAAAAGCAATGATGCTGCTGCTTTCTGGGCTGTTCTAGACGGACATGGCAGAATCATTACGGACAGTGAACATCGAGCACCTGAAGGGATGATGTGTGGACTCTTGGTGCTGCCCTCGCCTCCAGGAGAGACCACCTACCCTCTGCTCAGTAAACTGAGCTCAACACCATCCTACACCGCACAGTCAGACTGCCCCTGATTTCCATCACTAGCCAGTTCTGTAAACTGATATGTTTTATTTCCAACAATTGGAGATTTCTTCCCTATGAAGCTGCATCAAACAAACTTTCACAAGTCTGCCTTGAGCCCAGTCACTTTCCTGGAGGCGAGAAGCCTTAGCAGAGTTGGGTCTGGGGTGGCCATGGACACACAGGACCGTGGGGGAAGCTCCAGGGCCCGGCTCAAA